CAGATGTGGTTAGGGTGCCCACCAGAGCTCTAAAATAGACAATGAAATCATTAGTATTACGAGGAAAAGAGTAGGCGACAACCTTTTACCAAAATAGAATCACCAAAGTCAAAACCCGGAAGCGAAAAGGTGAGGGCGACTTTGCCGAAGAGAGCAAAGGTCAATAATGGACCACCATCATCATTTTCAAAACCTTCAAAGTAGAGCAAACATCTCCATCCTCGCCTGGTAAGAAATCAGAGCAGATCGAAGCAGACCAGCACCAGGACCATATGGCAAAGTCGTTGTGGTGTGTTTCAGCAGGACGTTGATGTTCAGCAGAAAAGAGCCTGCTTACTTCTGGTGCTCAGACGATGATGAAGATGGTGACGAGTGATGATAACAATGGAAACAGGTGGTGATGGTGGTGGTGGTGGTGGTGGTGATAGTACAGGCCACCTCTTCAACAGTGCACCGATAAGAGAAAGTCTGGTGTGAAAGTGAAAACCTCCAGCACACAACCGCAGACGGCACACACATGGACAGAGACCGAAAGTAGAGTGAGAGAGACTGATGCCACCGTCGCATGCGCTCTCCAAGCAACAGCCTAAGCGGCGGCTATTCCGGCGAACCGAATTAGGTGGATTCAGGGCATTCAAAACACTCGAACGGATATTCACCAGACAACTTGTATCTTGGTCGCAGCGCTCTTTATAAAACAAAACAATAATTTTACATAAAATGTCGGGTAAGAAATATAGAGTGTGTGTGTGGACGTCTGTAAAAGATGTAGACTTGCAGATAGTAAAAAGGGGTGTAGAACATTGCTCTGTGTGTATAGAGAAGGGGCGATTCCGCGACGGGGACTTTTTGCTGTTGGTGAATGGTCGATGAATGAATTTCTGCAGTGATGAAGTCTGAAAGGTGGTGAGGGTGATTGTTTGTTTGTTGGGATTTTCGGGATGGGAAAGATTAACCACGACCGCGGTATCCGCCCCCACCACCGCCACGACCAAATCCACCGCCTCCACGTCCTCTTCCGCCACCGAATCCTCCGCCGCCGCCTCCAAATCCTCCTCCTCGACTGAATCCTCCTCGACCGCCTCCGCCACCACCACGACCAAATCCTCCGCCACCTCGGCCTCGTCCGCCACCAAAGCCACCTCCACGACCACCGCCACCGCCTCCACCAGGTCTCTTGGCTCCTTTCGGTCTGGGAGGTTGTGGGAGGAATCGCGCCAGTGGCAGCAACTTGGCCGGGTCAATGAAGAATTTGATATTTGCAGGGAAGGAGGTGGCGCTGAGGCCGTCCATCATCGACACTGAGATGGAGTAGTCGCGGATGGAGCCGAAGATCTCGTCCACCTTGCCGATGCGCTTCTTGTCCTCGGTGTAGATGGGCGCATTGAAGAAGGGCAGTTCTTCGAGCTGTGACTTGATCACCAGCTGATTCTGGCAGGGGTGTGTTGAGTGGCCGAATTCCTGGACATGTTCCGGTGGGCCTTCGTCGAAGTCGCGTCCTCGGCCGCCAAAGCCGCCACGACCGCCGCCTCGGCCACCGCCTCTTCCGCCACCGAATCCTCCTCCACGTCCTCCTCCTCGGCCACCGAATCCACCGCCACCACCACCTCGACCAAATCCGCCGCCGCCTCCGCGACCACGTCCACCACCACCACCTCTGAAGCTCATGATGAGATGATACTTTTCTTAAGACAACTTGACAACTAAAGGAAAAACAACAACATGTTAGTTTGGATATACTCCGACACACACCCTACTCACCGGAAAAGAAGACGAAGATTCTTGACAGAGTCCAACAAAAGAAGAGAAAAATCAACAATGCAAAAACAGACCGACAATCCAAAAAGATGCACAAGTCTGCCGCACGTGTTTTGCCGAGATTTTTGTTGGGGTAGCTCGCAAAGGACGTGCTGTGTATGGCCGGCCACTTTCTGCTTCTGTTGTTCGCCGCAGAGGCTTTGTGTGTTTTGAAGCCGCCGCTGCTGCTGCTCCAGCATCTTTCAGGCGAATTTCCAGCAGCATCCTCAGCTTTCAAACTTCGAACCGGAATCCACAACCACCACCAACAACAGCTGCCAATCCCCGGTGTACAACACACACCGACCTGCCCGAGTGTCAGTTCAATCAACATCGACAGCTTCATCCAGCCAGTCGTTCACCAGCACACTTCACAAGACTTCGCAAAGATGATGATGGGCGGTGGTGGCGGTCCGCTCGGACCACCTGGACTGGGGCCGCTGGGCCTGCCGCCCGGCGTTTCGCCGCAGCTGCCGGGCTTCCCCATGGGCGGCCTGCCCCCGCCGCCGGGACACCCGGGCGCCCTCATCGGCGGGCCGCACCCTTCGCAGCTGGTCGGCCCTGGTGGACCTGGCGGCGGCGGTGGCATGGGCGGTCCTCATGGAGGGCCACCGCCATCGCATAGACTCTCTTCCGGTGCCACGCCTCCCAACTCTGGACCACCAGGAGGAGGTGGTGGTGGATCTTCAGGCGGTGGTGGCCATCACCACGGCGGCCACTCGTCCTCGAACAGTGGCAGCGGCGGCGGCGGTGGGAAGCAGCAGTCGGCGGACAACAAGATCAAGCCCAACTACAAGCAGATCTTCACGCTGGCCGGCCACACCAAGGCGGTTTCCTCGGTGAAGTTCTCCCCCAACGGTGACTGGTTGGCCAGCTGCTCCGCCGATAAGCTGATCAAGATCTGGAACGTCTCTGATGGCAAGTTTGAGCGCACCATCGCCGGCCACAAGCTGGGCGTCAGCGACGTTGCCTGGAGCACTGACTCGAGGCTGCTCGCCTCCGCGTCCGACGATAAGATGCTCAAAATCTGGGAAAGTCAAACGGTACTGTTTTTTTTTCTTTGCTACTTTTATTTGTGAAACTAATCAAATGTTTTTACTTTTCTTTCAGGGCAAATGTTTGAAGACGCTGAAGGGCCACAGCAACTACGTCTTCTGCTGCAACTTTAATCCGCAGTCCAATCTCATCGTTTCCGGCTCGGTGAGTTAGAGAGAGCCGGTGCTTGTAGAATGTGAACTTATTTCTATTTATACCACCACCATTCAGTTCGACGAATCGGTGCGCATTTGGGACGTGAAGACGGGCAAGTGCCTGAAGACGCTGCCCGCCCACTCTGACCCGGTCTCGGCGGTGCACTTTAACCGCGACGGGACGCTGATCGCCTCCAGCTCCTACGACGGCCTCTGTCGCATCTGGGACACCAGCACCGGGNGCAACTACGTCTTCTGCTGCAACTTTAATCCGCAGTCCAATCTCATCGTTTCCGGCTCGGTGAGTTAGAGAGAGCCGGTGCTTGTAGAATGTGAACTTATTTCTATTTATACCACCACCATTCAGTTCGACGAATCGGTGCGCATTTGGGACGTGAAGACGGGCAAGTGCCTGAAGACGCTGCCCGCCCACTCTGACCCGGTCTCGGCGGTGCACTTTAACCGCGACGGGACGCTGATCGCCTCCAGCTCCTACGACGGCCTCTGTCGCATCTGGGACACCAGCACCGGGCAGTGCCTGAAAACGCTGATCGACGATGACAATCCGCCGGTGTCCTTCGTCAAGTTCTCCCCCAACGGCAAGTACATCCTCGCGGCAACACTCGACAACACACTGAAGCTGTGGGACTACAGCAAGGGAAAGGTGAGCGCTGCTCAGAGTAAACACACTGCGACATTCACAGTATTCTGACTCTCTCAATCTCTTTCAAATAGCCACTCAAAATCTACCAAGGGCACAAGAATGAAAAGTACTGCATCTTTGCCAACTTCTCCGTCACCGGCGGAAAGGTAAGTACTGAAGTGTGCTTGGAGTGCACTCTGCACGAACTATAAATAACTTGGTCTCTTCCTCTCTCCTTAGTGGATCGTATCCGGCTCCGAGGACAACCAGGTGTACATCTGGAACCTGCAGACGAAGGAGATTGTGCAGAAGCTGAGCGGCCACACTGATGTGGTCCTCTGCACCGCCTGTCACCCCACGGAGAACATCATCGCCTCGGCGGCGCTGGAGAACGACAAGACGATCAAGCTGTGGAGGAGTGATGTGTAGAGGACAGTCACCTATGCATCGGGCACGAGTTTAAAAGCTCAAGGGAACAATTCTAGATTCAACCGTGCTGCTGGAAGTTCAAGTACAACTCACTTTTCTTCATCCCATCTCATCACCACCACCACCACCTCATCATCAACTTCCATCGACTTCTTCTTCTCTATAATTTTCTGTAATGTATTATCACCTTATTCTTGCTGCTCTATACATACACACTTCATCGAACCATTCTTCACTGTCTGAGTGGCCGCCCGCCCGCCCACTCACAGTGCACTCTCCCGTGCGTTCACCGTCATCAACTTTTGAACTTTTTATTTGTGTACCAACTAGCTAACTCAATCTGATTGTCGCCATTTGTTGTGCACACTCTCCCCCTCTCTGATCCTCTTCAATATAACATGATTATCGGTCGGCCAACGTACTTCGGCAATAACAACAACAACAATAACGGCAGNTTTATTTGTGTACCAACTAGCTAACTCAATCTGATTGTCGCCATTTGTTGTGCACACTCTCCCCCTCTCTGATCCTCTTCAATATAACATGATTATCGGTCGGCCAACGTACTTCGGCAACAACAACAACAACGGCATCAGCAGCAAAAACAGCCGTGGCATTCTCTTCAATTCTAAACTTCTGACTCGCTGATTCATTTGATTACATTCTCTCTCCCTGCTACTAAGAACTAAAGACATTGGCAGGCAGGCATTCCTTGGCTGCTCATTAGCGAGTAAATGCGATTAGCTTGGGGACTGGCTGGCGGCTGGCAGTGTGTGGTACCAGGAATCTCTCTCCTCCGCCTTCTCTTCTCTGGGGTAATCATCATCATCATCATCAGGCATTCATTCATTTGTCTTGTACACACATTCAACACAATAAGAAGAAGAAGTAGAATTAGGGGAGGCAAAAGAACAAACATCAGGCAGCCTATGGTATGGGCGCATTTGAAATTTGTTGATGACTGATGTAACATCGATCGACCAATTCTCTGCTGTTGTTGCTGCTGTACGGCAGACTGTTGTTGCACAGTAGCAGGAAAAGAAGAAAGAAAGAAAATTTAGTCGAAAACAGATCAGTGGAGATGAGAACTGCAGAGAGAATAGTGAATCCACTGAGGCTGCAACTGTAGTTTCGGTAGTTTTGCCCTGGACTGCCGCGGTGGCTGTTGTTTTCGTGCAAACTGCCAAACACTTTGCTCCCTCCCTCCCTCCGCTCTCAATTGCTCCCTTCCCTGCAAATGGGCGCCACTCGGAATCTGCCAAATGCGAATGTGAGTTAGCTTTCTACTCTGACTGCAAAAGAAAGACATGCAGTAATTCGATTGTCAGTAAAAGTAGAAGTGAAAGAAGATAAAGAAGAAGAAGATTGTCGACAAAAACAAGGTAGTGCTGGTGCTGGTGAGGATCGACAGCAACGGTGCGCTGATTCCCGGTATTCAGTGCATAGTGATTGAATGCTCGCTGTGAGTGAGCGAGTGACTGAGTGTGTGCCCTACTCTCTTTCTTTGTGCCGCTTCTAAATTGAATGAATAGATGAATAAATAATAAAACGCCAATGAATGAAGGAAGGAGTGGAAATGAACTGAAATGAAATGAATGACATTTCCGAGGAATGTGCCCCTAGAATCCAAAGTGCTGCTGTTGCTCTGCTGAGTGCAAGTGCCCAGGGTTACACTAGTACTGAGCTTGCAAGTTTTGCTGTGCAGTACGTGACCAGGGCCGAATTGAGGACAGTAAATAAAAGAGGAAAAGAAGAAGATTTGCACTTCAAGAAGTGCTTGTTTACTGGATACATACCAAAGTGCTTGTTTGTGCTTGCAAACTCAAACAGCAAAGAAAGTAGAAGGGACAGAGTCAATTCAGGGGAAAGTGTCAGTGTCAGTGCACACTGATCCCCTTTTTTCAGTATAGTAGTCTTTGGAGCAGTGCACAAGTTTTCGGCTGAGAAGGAGATAATGAGCACTTCAGAAGAGAAGAGTGGAGTGAATGGGGTGCCCAGCACTTCTTCTTCACTTGCTGTTGACTGATGAATGATGCTGGTGGTGATGGTGGTGGTGTTGCTGATTCGAAGAAGAGAGCGAGGGCAAAGTGTAAAAAGTGGTTCTTTTGTCTGTGAGGACACCGCGTGACCATCGTGTTGCTGTGCGCACACTTTGCTCACTTCACCACATGCACATCAACACTTCATCTTTGCAACCCTGTCCGCCACTATCAGTCATCAGTGTCATTAGTTAGACAGTCAGTGGCCAAGAAAGAGGCAGCAGCAGCACTGTTGTTTACTGTCAATCGTACCATCACCACCATCACCACCACCACCATCAGCACTCACTTCACTGAGATGATCATCAGTATATTTTCTATACTGCTGTACGTACTAAAGCTGTGGCAACTTTGTTGCGAACTACTGAGCCAGTGGAGTACACCACTCACCACACTACAACGTCTGTTTGTTTGCCCTCCTTTTCTTCCCTTTTCTCTCTCTTTCTTCTTCTTATTTGTTTTTCACTCTGAAGCAGCATGTGCTTGGTGCATGTGTGGTGGTTTTGGCCCACCAAGAGTCAGGCAGACAGCAGCAGCAAGCAGTGTGTGTTCGGTGCTCAAGTCAGTCGGCAAACACTAAAAAACAGAAAGAGTAAGAGAGGAGGAAAAGACGAAAACACCGATAGATTATACTTGCTGATCGGAGACAGAGGAGAAGGAGACGGAGACGAAGGAAAAAACGGCGGCGGCGGTGAAAGGAAAGTAAAGAATGGTCAAGGTCAGTTGTCAAGCGGTTGCTGCTGCTGTTGCTGGCGGACGAGCTGGTGCATGAATGTACTGCATGCTCAAGTACATTCGCTGCCTGCTGCTTTTTTCAGGCTACTTCTTTTTCTCTTTCTCTCTTTCTGGAACACTCGTTGACAAAGGAAGAAGAGTAACACACTACAACAGCGCTGCTGCCCTTGAACGAATTTACACTGAACTTGCACCCTGAGAGAGAGTAGTCTTCCAATTGAAAAAATAGAATCAGCAACAGCAGTGAAAACACCTACGACTACCTTTCTTTCCTTCTTTCTTTCTTTACCCAACAAGTCGCACTTGGTGCTGGTGCAGTGGCTGAACTTGCACTTTCAGGAGGGACTGATTTTGACGTAAACAGCAGAATAAAAATCAATATTTCTGCAGTGCCAAGTTGCAAGTGCCCGTCTCAGGTACAGTGCAATTTTGATGTGCATTAGTTGTTTGAAAGCAGTGCCGAATGACTTGGCAATGCAAAAATTAAAGACATTATCGCATGTTTTTTTTGAGTGATCAAGTTCTCTCAACAACACTTGAACAAAAATGATTGTGTTAAAAAGAGAAAAAGTTCCATATTTGCAAACCCCACTCAATAAATGGGCCACGTTTGCCTAGCAGACGTGTTCGTCTGTGTTGTACAGTGTGCGCTAGCAAGTCATCATGATGGTAATTGCAACCACTTCAGACTCCACCACTGGCAGCGTCATCAACTCCACCTGTGAGCACACCTCCTCAGCTGATCCTCCCGATGTGCTGTTGCCACTGTACCGCTTCTTCGAGCTGGGCGTTGTAGTCTTTTTCTGTTTGGTCGTGCCAACGGTGCTCTACTGCTGCTGTGCCCCCGCAACCTCAGCCAAAGAGAAGGCGAAGGACCAGCCGGTGAAGCTGAACTTCTTCGAGGTGCTCCAGTTGGGCGCCTCCGGGCTGAGCCTCCTCGGCCTGAGCGTGATCACCCTCCAGTGCAACCGCCTGTACCTGGTGGGCAGTCTGCGGCGGGAGCAGGGCTCGCTGCTGCAGTCGCTCAGTGACTTTGCCGCCTCGGTGCCGGCGGTCGCCCTCCTGCTCTGCCTCATCATTCAGTACCGGGAGCTGAAAAGGTACCGGGAGCGTGTGTGCACTGAAACCTATCTGCTTACCGTACCTTCTTTCTTCTCAACACAGCGAAATGGGCGAAGTGACCTTTATTGTGGAGAAATGGTTCCAGATGTTCGCCAGCGGCCTCTGCCTGCTCTGCTCCCTGCTGCTGCTGGTGGAGGGCGCCTTCGGGCTGCGCACCGCCGCCGCGATGCTCTTCTGGTGGAGCTCCTTCCTCCTCGTGGGGACGCTCTTCTTCGGCGGGTGGGCGGTGGCCGCCCAGTGGCCGGCCTGGCAGGTGCGGTACAGCGCCGAAGAAGCGGAGGCGGCGCAGGAGATGGCCGAGCTGGAGAAGTACGACGTGGAGGCGGCGGTGACGGAGGTGTTGGCGAGCAGTGGTGGCCAACAGCAGCAGCAGCAGCAGCCCAAGGTCAATCGGCAGAAGCAGCTGGTGGAGAACAGCAAGATCAAGGCGCTGCAGGCGTACAAGTCCAGCGACCAGCGCAAAACCATTCTCTACCGCCAGCCGGCGGAGGGGGAGGAGGAGGAGAGGGGCAACACGCCCAAAGAGTCACAACTGATCAGGTTCACCGGGCAGAAGCTGTTCAACGCGAAGCCTCCAAAGCCTCCTCCTCCTGCTCCAGCTCTAGTTCAGCCTGCTGAGCAGCAGCAGCCAAAGTCACGCAAAAAGTCAAGCAAAAAGATCACCAGCAGCAAAAAGATCACTGCCGCCAGCACCAGCAAAAGCAAAAGCAAACGGCGCAGCTCTTCAAAGCAGCAGCGGAAAAACAGTCGAAGTAGAAGAAGAAGTAGCAGCAAACAGCGGAAAAACAGTTCCAAGACTTTGAAGAGAAACACGGGAGCCGCTGCCTCCAAGTCAAAGACCAAATCGAGGAAGTCCCGATCAAAGGCGCTGGGCAGTCGGCAGCAGAGGAAGAGCTGCAAGAAGCAGGCAGGCTCAAAGAAAAGGTCCAAGTCCAAGTCGGTTGGAAAGCAGCTGGCCCAGCCTTGGCCCTAGCTCCTTTGTCTTTATTTTAAACAGCCTCAATTCTCAAGCTTTGAATAAAAACACTCATTGGAAAAAGCTAAAAGGTTGTGAACAGTTGTGGTCAGCTGACTGACAAACGGCACGTCAGCAAAGCGTTATCG